GCCTGGGCCGGGCGCCTAGCTTACCCCCTCTATCTGCCTCCGCGCTGAGCCGGGCGCCCGGATTACCCTCCTCCTGCCTACCGGGCCTGAGCCGGGCCGCCCCGGATCACCCTCTCCTGCCTGCTGGCTGGGCCGGGCTCCTAGCTTACCCTCCATTCTGTCTCCGCGCTGAGCCGGGGCGCACAGATTAACCCTCCTTCTGCCTCCGCGCTGAGCCGGGCGCCGGATTACCCTCCTCCTGCCTGCTGGCTGGGCCGGGGCGCCCAGATTACCCTCCTCCCTGCCTGGCTGGCTGGGCGGGCGCCCGGATTACCTTCCTCCTGCCTGCTGGCTGAGCCGGGCACCCGGATTACCCTCCTCCTGCCCTGCTGGCCGGGCCGGATGCCTGGCTTATCTCCCTGCGCCTGGCGGCAAGCCCGCAGATCATCCCCGGCCTCCAGTTTGTCGACCGATCGTCCTACCCGGTCATCCGCGGTCCGCGGCGGCCCATCTGGCGACTTCTCGTTCGCTGACGACCCGCCGTGCCTCCCGACCGCCGCGGTCCTGTCCTCCGGCTTGCCGGCGGACCCTCAGCCGGGTCATCTGTCAGATAATCGCCGTCGCCGGGCCCGGACTGGCGCTGTTGCGTCACGGGGTGGCGGGCGCGGCGAGCGTGACCCGGGAAATCGGACTTGCCGTGGCGCTCCGAGGATGGGAGGCTGACGGCCGCTCCCAGTGGTAAAACCAGTTCGCACGCAGGCCCCATGTGAAGTGCTTGACACGTCTGCATTTGCCTGCAAGCTCGGCTCTCTGTAATGTATTCACCTGCAAGCGCCCGATTCTGTGTAATGTATTGCCCGCAAACGCTCGACTCTTTGTACTGTGCCTGCCTGCAAATACTCAGCCCTTTGCACTGAACTTGCTTGGAAACGTTCGGCTTGCACGATACTTGCCAGAAAAAGCCCCCGGCGTTCTAAAAAAAAAACATGGCCGTTTCGTTTCAGGCAGCGGTTTCAGCTTTCTCATTGCCACACATTTCGTTGAACGTGCGATCGATTACCATTTGCAGTCCGTTTTTTGTGAGCATGATACCATTGATTGCATCAACCGAACTTCCTTTCTCCGGCGTCCTTAGCATGTGTGGAAATTGACACCAGGTTCTCTAGCGGCGGTGTGAGTGGAATGGCTCATCATGAGGCTGGTAATCAGTCTCAAACACACGAAACGGAAAGCCATGGGTGAGCGCTCTACTAAAGACTTACGTCACCACGTTCTTCCATTTAACTCACAGGCACCGTAGAAATATGTTTCTTGACTGGCAAACGGCTTCTTGACAGCATCTGATAGGTCTTAAGAGGCTCATAAGACGATCTGTCAAGGAAGATCCTTTAAAATTTCCGTGCTGTCCAATGAGACGCTCATGCATGGTACGACGTGCACTTTACCACCCGTAAAGCAAGTTGCAGGTGTTTAAGCCACGCTAAAGATCTTATTCTAATCAGTTTCATGTGACGTTCACCTATTGCCTTCTCCGATGGACACCAGAGGTTGACACCATCGGTGTGAGCAGCCCTGAACTTCTAAAGCGACGGAAAATAAAAATAATGAACTAACCGCATTTGAGCATCGCAGTGTATTCGAAGGCAACGCTCCTTACGCGAATATTTTTGACCTTCTAGCTGATTTCCCCCGTGGCTCCGTGGTGACAGCGGAGCGTGCGTGCTGCCTGGGATGAGGCAGCAGACCGTAATATGTCGCGTTCAGGTCCGTCATTCGAGTGCGAGAGAGAGGAGAGAGAAGAGAGAGAGAGGAGAGAGAGAGAGAGAGAGAGAGAGAGAGAGGAGAGAGAGAGAGAGAGAGGAGAGGGGGGGGGGGACCAGTTACGCCGTGCGTGCGGCAAACCCGCGACCAGCCTTCCTGTTCTCTTCAGATCGTGTCGCACTCAGTGCTGCTCACACTGGTAACTTCGGCGACAATCACGACTGACGTCGCCGCGCTCTTCCGCAGATTCAGCGGGTTGAGATGGAGGACAGCAGCGTGCCGTGGTCAGGGCACCACCGTCACGGCACTGGTCACGGCCGACACCGTCAACAGGAGCTCCCTCACCA